AAAACCCTTAAAAATAACTTACCTTTGTCGTCTTCTCGACATTCCATGAAGAGTCATTCCACATAAACAGAGAACCAAGCCAGCTACATTCACCGCTGAGAGATGATCATTATTTAGAAGATGTGCCAGTAGCAATGTTGCAACTTCCTGAAAGAGAAAAGTTTCCTTTGATTGCACTGTTGCCTACAAAAGGAAAAGTAGCACCTTCACTATTCCAAAGATATTCAATGTTATCCCAGAAGTGTTGACAAGAAGAAGATATTCTAAATTTTGCAACTGGCTTAGTAAGGTGATTTTGTTCTATATATATTATTTATAAGAATAGTCGAAAGTTCCATATTAATTAAATTTGAACGATGTTTGCACAGTGTATGTTATGGCAATGCCCATACATCTATTTTTGCTGTTCTTCAACCCCTCCCCCTCCGAAGAAGTTTTGTGCGACCGCCACTGGCGCATGTAATTTATGGCCAAATTAATATAAGACCAAAAAAGGAAGGAGTTCAATCACCTGACATTTCCATACAAAAAGCTAGTAACCCTCCACATATTATTAACAATGTAACTTGAACAGGAGCGTAATGATGTTTATAGAAGAGCACGGTGTCGTAAGAAAGTTCGCTACCTAAAAGATAGAACTTTTGATAATTTTGACAGAGAATATAAAAGTTCATACCTTCAAACATCAGTATGAGAGGTATGATCGGAATCAACATCCAAGGTTGAACATGTGCGACCATATCTAGAGGATGGCTCAGGGCCTGTTCCTCTCGTTGCATTACCAACTGTGACACTGTCCATCTAAAAAGAACTGCTACAATGAATAAGACCAAAAACCGTAAAATCTTTTTCTCAGTAGTAAGCGCAGAGCATGATCAAACAGATCAAAGATATTCTTTATTACCCATCTATAACCAAAGGCTTTGCACTTCAGCTTTGGTAGTAACACATCCACAGCCCAACAGAGGTAACCCTGTCGACATGTAGCAATGGACGAAAAACAAGAACTTCCACTAAATTTAAGCCTCAGTATGATGAGCAAAGTTATCTGTGCAAAAA